TTGAGGGCTTCAGAAGAGCTGTAGGACCAAAATACGAGTACGTTTTTTATTGAACCAAAGGTACATGCGCTAGTGGTCTAGTGGTAGAATAGTACCATACCACGATACAGTCCCAGTTCGATTCTCGACTGGTGCATCTTGAAAATTACCTATGATGATATCAGTGCAAAATATTCAAACTTCGGTTTGTTACAATCTATCATTTAAATTTATAAATTTCCCGAGTAGCACTATCGAGCTTTTTTTTTTTTATATCGAGAGTTGAAACTAAAAGTTGAGGGCTTCAGAAGAGCTGTAGGACAAAAATACGAGTACGTTTTTTATTGAACCAAAGGTACATGCGCTAGTGGTCTAGTGGTAGAATAGTACCATACCACGATACAGTCCCAGTTCGATTCTCGACTGGTGCATCTTGAAAATTACCTATGATGATATTGGTGCAAAATATTCAAACTTCGGTTTGTTACAATCTATCATTTAAATTTATAGATTTCACGCCTTGCACTATGGAGCCTTCTTTTTTTAATCGAGAGGTGAAACTAAAAGTTGAGGGCTTCAGAAGAACTGCAGTTCTAAAATACGAGTATGTTTTTTATTGGCCCAAAGGTACATGCACTAGTGGTCTAGTGGTAGAATAGTACCGTTCCACGATACAGTCTCAGTTCGATTCTCGACTGGTGCATCTTGAAGATTACCTATGATGATATTAGTGCAAAATGTTCAAACTTCGGTTTGTTACAATCTATCATTTACATTTATAGATTTCACGCGTAGCACTATGGAGCCTTCTTTTTGAAATCGAGAGGTGAAACTAAAACTTTAGGGCTTCAGAAGAACTACAGTTCCAAAATACGAGTATGTTTTTTATTGGCCCAAAGGTACATGCACTAGTGGTCTAGTGGTAGAATAGTACCATACCACGATACAGTCCAAGTTCGATTCTCAACTGGTGCATCTTGAAGAATACCTATGATGATATTAGCGCAAAATGTTCAAACTTCGGTTTGTTACAATCTATCATTTACATTTATAGATTTCACTTGTAGACCTATGGAGCTTTCATTTTTCAATCGAGAGGTGAAACTAAAAGTTGAGGGCTTCAGAAGAACTGCAGTACCAAATTACGAGTAAATTATGGACAGACCTAACGTTGGATGCACCAGTGAACTAGTGGTAGAATAGTACCCTGCCACGGTACAGACCCGAGTTCGATTCTCGGCTGGTGCATCTTGAAGAGATGCTATGATGATATTATTGCATACTTTTCGAATTTCTTGGGTTTGTCACTATATCATTTAAATTTATAAATTTCCCGAGTAGCACTATCGAGCTTTTTTTTTTTATATCGAGAGTTGAAACTAAAAGTTGAGGGCTTCAGAAGAGCTGTAGGACCAAAATACGAGTACGTTTTTTATTGGCCCAAAGGTACATGCGCTAGTGGTCAAGTGGTAGAATAGTATCATACCACGATACAGTCCAAGTTCGATTCTCAACTGGTGCATCTTGAAGAATACCTATGATGATATTAGCGCAAAATGTTCAAACTTCGGTTTGTTACAATCTATCATTTACATTTATAGATTTCACTTGTAGACCTATGGAGCTTTCATTTTTCAATCGAGAGGTGCAACTAAAAGTTGAGGGCTTCAGAAGAACTGCAGTTCCAAAATACGAGTATGTTTTTTATTTGCCCAAAGGTACATGCACTAGTGGTCTAGTGGTAGAATAGTACCATACCACGATACAGTCCCAGTTCGATTCTCGACTGGTGCATCTTGAAGATTACCTATGATGATATTAGTGCAAAATGTTCAAACTTCGGTTTGTTACAATCTATCATTTACATTTATAGATTTCACGCGTAGCACTATGGAGCCTTCTTTTTGAAATCGAGAGGTGAAACTAAAANGCCAAAGGTACATGCACTAGTGGTCTAGTGGTAGAATAGTACCATACCACGATACAGTCCCAGTTCGATTCTCGACTGGTGCATCTTGTACCTATGATGATATTAGTGCAAAATGTTCAAACTTCGGTTTGTTACAATCTATCATTTACATTTATAGATTTCACGAGTAGACCTATGGAGCTTTCATTTTTCAATCGAGAGGTGAAACTAAAAGTTGAGGGCTTCAGAAGAATTGCAGTACCAAATTACGAGTAAATTATGGACAGACCTAAAGATGGATGCACCAGTGGTCTAGTGGTAGAATAGTACCCTGCCACGGTACAGACCCGAGTTCGTTTCTCGGCTGGTGCATCTTGAAGAGATGCTATGATGATATTATTGCATACTTTTCGAATTTCTTGGGTTTGTCACTATATAATTTAAATTTATAAATTTTCCGAGTAGCACTATCGAGCTTTTTTTTTTTTTTATATCGATTGTTGAAACTAAAAGTTGAGGGCGTCAAAAGAGCTGCAGGACCAAAATACGAGTACGTTTTTTATTGGCCCAAAGGTACATGCGCTAGTGGTCAAGTGGTAGAATAGTACCATACCACGATACAGTCCCAGTTCGATTCTCGACTGGTGCATCTTGAAGATTACCTATGATGATATTAGTGCAAAATGTTCAAACTTCGGTTTGTTACAATCTATCATTTAAATTTATAGATTTCACGCGTAGCACTATGGAGACTTCTTTATTTAATCGAGAGGTGAAACTAAAAGTTGAGGGCTTCAGAAGAACTGCAGTTCCAAAATACGAGTATGTTTTTTATTTGCCCAAAGGTACATGCACTAGTGGTCTAGTGGTAGAATAGTACCATACCACGATACAGTCCAAGTTCGATTCTCAACTGGTGCATCTTGAAGAATACCTATGATGATATTAGCGCAAAATGTTCAAACTTCGGTTTGTTACAATCTATCATTTACATTTATAGATTTCACTTGTAGACCTATGGAGCTTTCATTTTTCAATCGAGAGGTGAAACTAAAAGTTGAGGGCTTCAGAAGAACTGCAGTACCAAATTACGAGTAAATTATGGACAGACCTAAAGTTGGATGCACCAGTGGTCTAGTGGTAGAATAGTTCCCTATCATGGTATAGACCCAAGTTCGATTCTCGGCTGGTGCATCTTGTAGAGATGCTTGCATACTTTTCGAATTTCTTGGGTTTGTCACTATATCATTAAAATTTATAAATTTCCCGAGTAGCACTATCGAGCTTTTTTTTTTTTATATCGAGAGTTGAAACTAAAAGTTGAGGGCTTCAGAAGAGCTGTAGGACCAAAATACGAGTACGTTTTTTATTGGCCCAAAGGTACATGCGCTAGTGGTCAAGTGGTAGAATAGTACCATACCACGATACAGTCCCAGTTCGATTCTCGACTACTGCATCTTGAAGATTACCTATGATGATATTAGTGCAAAATGTTCAAACTTCGGTTTGTTACAATCTATCATTTACATTTATAGATTTCACGCGTAGCACTATGGAGCCTTCTTTTTGAAATCGAGAGGTGAAACTAAAACTTGAGGGCTTCAGAAGAACTACAGTTCCAAAATACGAGTATGTTTTTTATTGGGCCAAAGGTACATGCACTAGTGGTCTAGTGGTAGAATAGTACCGTTCCACGATACAGTCTCAGTTCGATTCTCGACTGGTGCGTCTTGAAGATTACCTATGATGATATTAGTGCAAAATGTTCAAACTTCGGTTTGTTACAATCTATCATTTACATTTATAGATTTCGCGAGTAGTCCTATGGAGCTTTCATTTTTAAATCGAGAGGTGAAACTAAAAGTTGAGGGCTTCAGAAGAACTGCAGTACGAAATTTCGAGTAAATTATGGACAGACCTAAAGTTGGTTGAACCAGTGGTCTAGTGGTAGAATAGTACCCTGCCACGGTACAGACCCGAGTTCGATTCTCGGCTGGTGCATCTTGAAGAGATGCTATGATGATATTATTGGATACTTTTCGAATTTCTTGGGTTTGTCAATATATCATTTAAATTTATAAATTTCCCGAGTAGCACTATCGAGCTTTTTTTTTTTATATCGAGAGTTGAAATTAAAAGTTGAGGGCTTCAAAAGAGTTGCAGGACAAAAATACGAGTACGTTTTTTATTGGCCCAAAGATACATGCGCTAGTGGTCTAGTGGTTGAATAGTACCATACCATGATACAGTCCCAATTCGATTCTCGACTAGTGTATCTTGAAGATTACCTATGATTATATTAGTGCAAAATGTTCAAACTTCGGTTTGTTACAATCTATCATTTACATTTATAGATTTCACGCGTAGCACTATGGAGCCTTCTTTTTGAAATCGAGAGGTGAAACTAAAACTTGAGGGCTTCAGAAGAACTACAGTTCCAAAATACGAGTATGTTTTTTATTGGCCCAAAGGTAGATGCACTATTGGTCTAGTGGTAGAATAGTACCGTTCCACGATACAGTCTCAGTTCGATTCTCGACTGGTGCATCTTGAAGATTACCTATGATGATATTAGTGCAAAATGTTCAAACTTCGGTTTGTTACAATCTATCATTTACATTTATAGATTTCACGAGTAGCACTATGGAGCCTTCTTTTTGAAATCGAGAGGTGAAACTAAAACTTGAGGGCTTCAGAAGAACTACAGTTCCAAAATACGAGTATGTTTTTTATTGGGCCAAAGGTACATGCACTAGTGGTCTAGTGGTAGAATAGTACCGTTCCACGATACAGTCTCAGTTCGATTCTCGACTGGTGCATCTTGAAGATTACCTATGATGATATTAGTGCAAAATGTTCAAACTTCGGTTTGTTACAATTTATCATTTACATTTATAGATTTCGCGAGTAGACCTATGGAGCTTTCATTTTTAAATCGAGAGGTGAAACCAAAAGTTGAGGGCTTCAGAAGAACAGCAGTACGAAATTTCGAGTAAATTATGGACAGACCTAAAGTTGGTTGCACCAGTTGTCTAGTGGTAGAATAGTACCCTGCCATGGTACAGACCCGAGTTCGATTCTCGGATGGTGCATCTTGAAGAGATGCTATGATGATATTATTGCATACTTTTCGAATTTCTTGGGTCTTTCACTATATCATTTAAATTTATAAATTTCCCGAGTAGCACTATAGAGCTTTTTTTTTTTATATCGAGAGTTGAAACTAAAAGTTGAGGGCGTCAGAACAGCTGCAGGACCAAAATACGAGTACGTTTTTTATTGGCCCAAAGGTACATGCGCTAGTGGTCTAGTGGTAGAATAGTATCATACCACGATACAGTCCAAGTTTGATTCTCGACTGGTGCATCTTGAAGAATACCTATGATGATATTAGTGCAAAATGTTCAAACTTCGGTTTGTCACAATCTATCATTTACATTTAAAGATTTCACGAGTAGACCTATGGGGCATTCATTTTTTAATCGAGAGGTGAAACTAAAAGTTGAGGGCTTCAGAAGAACTGCAGTACCAAATTACGAGTAAATTATGGACAAACCTAACGTTGGATGCACCAGTGGTCTAGTTGTAGAATAGTACCCTGCCACGATACAGTCTCGAGTTCGATTCTCAGCTGGTTCATCTTGAAGAGATGTTATGATGATATTATTGCATACTTTTCGAATTTCTTTGGTTTGTCACTATATCATTTAAATTTATAAATTTCCCGAGTAGCACTATCGAGCTTTTTTTTTTTATATCGAGAGTTGAAACTAAAAGTTGAGGGCTTCAGAAGAGCTGCAGGACCAAAATACGAGTACGTTTTTTATTGGCCCAAAGGTACATGCGCTAGTGGTCTAGTGGTAGAATAGTATCATACCACGATACAGTCCCAGTTCGATTCTCGACTAGTGCATCTTGAAGATTACCTATGATGATATTAGTGCAAAATGTTCAAACTTCGGTTTGTTACAATCTATCATTTACATTTATAGATTTCACGCGTAGCACTATGGAGCCTTCTTTTTTAAATCGAGAGGTGAAACTAAAACTTGAGGGCTTCAGAAGAACTACAGTTCCAAAATACGAGTATGTTTTGTATTGGCCCAAAGGTACATGCACTAGTGGTCTAGTGGTAGAATAGTACCATACCACGATACAGTCCAAGTTCGATTCTCGACTGGTGCATCTTGTAGAATACCTATGATGATATTAGTGCAAAATGTTCAAACTTCGGTTTGTTACAATTTATCATTTACATTTATAGATTTCACGAGTAGACCTATGGAGCTTTCATTTTTCAATCGAGAGGTGAAACTAAAAGTTGAGGGCTTTAGAAGAACTGTAGTACCAAATTACGAGTAAATTATGGACAGACTAAAAGTTGGATGCACCAGTGGTTTAGTGGTAGAATAGTACTTTGCCACGGTACAGACCCAGGTTCGATTCTCGGCTGGTCCATCTTGAAGATATGCTTGCATACTTTTCGAATTTCTTGGGTCTGTCACTATATCATTTAAATTTATAAATTTCCCGAGTAGCACTATAGAGCTTGTTTTTTTTATATCGAGAGTTGAAACTAAAAGTTGAGGGCGTTAGAACAGCTGCAGGACCAAAATACGAGTACGTTTTTTATTGGCCCAAAGGTACATGCGCTAGTGGTCTAGTGGTAGAATAGTATCATACCACGATACAGTCCAAGTTTGATTCTCGACTGGTGCATCTTGAAGAATACCTATGATGATATTAGTGCAAAATGTTCAAACTTCGGTTTGTCACAATCTATCATTTACATTTAAAGATTTCACGAGTAGACCTATGGGGCATTCATTTTTTAATCGAGAGGTGAAACAAAAAGTTGAGGGCTTCAGAAGAACTGCAGTACGAAATTTCAAGTAAATTATGGACAGACCTAAAGTTGGTTGCACCAGTGGTCTAGTGGTAGAATGGTACCCTGCCACGGTACAGACCCGAGTTCGATTCTCGGCTGGTGCATCTTGAAGAGATGCTATGATGATATTATTGCATACTTTTCGAATTTCTTGGGTTTGTCACTATATCATTTAAATTTATAAATTTCCCGAGTAGCACTATCGAGCTTTTTTTTTTTATATCGAGAGTTGAAACTAAAAGTTGAGGGCTTCAGAAGAGCTGTAGGACCAAAATACGAGTACGTTTTTTATTGAACCAAAGGTACATGCGCTAGTGGTCTAGTGGTAGAATAGTACCATACCACGATACAGTCCCAGTTCGATTCTCGACTGGTGCATCTTGAAAATTACCTATGATGATATTAGTGCAAAATATTCAAACTTCGGTTTGTTACAATCTATCATTTAAATTTATAGATTTCACGCCTTGCACTATGGAGCCTTCTTTTTTTAATCGAGAGGTGAAACTAAAAGTTGAGGGCTTCAGAAGAACTGCAGTTCTAAAATACGAGTATGTTTTTTATTGGCCCAAAGGTACATGCACTAGTGGTCTAGTGGTAGAATAGTACCGTTCCACGATACAGTCTTAGTTCGATTCTCGACTGGTGCATCTTGAAGATTACCTATGATGATATTAGTGCAAAATGTTCAAACTTCGGTTTGTTACAATCTATCATTTACATTTATAGATTTCACGCGTAGCACTATGGAGCCTTCTTTTTGAAATCGAGAGGTGAAACTAAAACTTGAGGGCTTGAGAAGAACTACAGTTCCAAAATACGAGTATGTTTTTTATTGGCCCAAAGGTACATGCACTAGTGGTCTAGTGGTAGAATAGTACCATACCACGATACAGTCCAAGTTCGATTCTCAACTGGTGCATCTTGAAGAATACCTATGATGATATTAGCGCAAAATGTTCAAACTTCGGTTTGTTACAATCTATCATTTACATTTATAGATTTCACTTGTAGACCTATGGAGCTTTCATTTTTCAATCGAGAGGTGAAACTAAAAGTTGAGGGCTTCAGAAGAACTGCAGTACCAAATTACGAGTAAATTATGGACAGACCTAACGTTGGATGCACCAGTGAACTAGTGGTAGAATAGTACCTTGCCACGGTACAGACCCGAGTTCGATTCTCGGCTGGTGCATCTTGAAGAGATGCTATGATGATATTATTGCATACTTTTCGAATTTCTTGGGTTTGTCACTATATCATTTAAATTTATAAATTTCCCGAGTAGCACTATCGAGCTTTTTTT